TAAACTAAAATGTAAAAAATAAAAACAACCTGCATCTGCGCCAAAATTGAATGGGTTCTTCTCTGACCACATCCTTCCACTGAGTTTTAATGGAAATCCAATCAGTTGTTTTTGTATAATCTTTCTTATGAATAAATTAACATACAAAGCAACCAACAAACAAACGGACAGCGGTGAAAACACAACTTCTTTGGCAAAGGTCAAAAACCGACACACAGTGAAGCAAGGCACTGTGTTATTATTACATGTAATTACATGATTTAAACATTTCTGCATCATTGCACAAAGAATCCGTCATGATTACAACACTTGCCTGAGAACCTCAATTGGTTTTGTTTACCAGGAGGCCGTGTTCATGGGCAACGGGGAGCAGTACATTTGGAAGCCTCCAGAGGACGATGACATCATCACCTTGCACCCACCTCCACACCGCGGCGAGAACGGACAGGGACACCCATCGCCCCCAACTGCAAAGGAGGTAGTACACGTGTGTGTATGTGGTGGTGGGGGGTAGTAGGGAGGAATGGGGAACCCCTCCACAGGGGAGCGGAAGGACAACAGGCAGACGGAAAGACGCATAGCTCTCTGATTTGTGACTGCTGTGTTTACTGAGCGGGGTGCACATTTGATTGGGCACACCGTCATGCTGCCGCTGCCCTTTGGCCTGCCTGTCATATGAGGTTTTTGCTTCCTCCAGAGGTTTCGTTACATCGATCCATGCACTCCCAACCCCCCTGCCTGAACCCTGACCCCAATCTCCCAGCCCCCGGCTTGCTGGTACGTCTTGACTGTAAGTCACAACGCACCCGGCGGATCAGACCACTTTGCATTCATTCGTGTAGGGGTTCGCTGTTTTATCTCCTGGGCTCATGCAGACAGAACGTGATGAGCCCTGTATGTATATACTGTATGTGGCGGAGTGTGTCTGGTGGTGATAGGGGGGAAGCCTGCACTCACCAATCATGTCACATACAACACATGCTCTTCCACTCACAGCAACCCCACTCGATCTCCCTCTCTCCCCCTTTGTTCCCTCTCTGCTGGACAGTAACTTCGGTGGTGTATGTATGATTGAGGACTCACTCTGGATTTTGACAAGTGACTTCACACAGTTTGGGGTTATTAATACAAAAGATAATTTTGATGACAAGGAATTGAATGTATCTATTCAGGGAGACATGTTAGAGTGAAGTAAGTTTTATACAGTTTTAAGCTACTGGTAACTTTTTTGATTAAGTCAGTGTTGAACCAAAAAGTTTGGAAGCTGCTGTATGTGGAGATTAAAGGGTTAAGTCTCTGTTGTTATGCTCAATAGTTAAACTACTCCTCTGCAAGTCAGACTGGTACACAGAGCAGCTGGCCTTGACTGCATTCTGCAATCGCTCTCTCCCAATTTATTTTTATTTCCCTCTAACTTTCTGTCCAGGTTTTTTTCTTCTTTTTTAAACTTTTTCTCTTCCTTAGTGTTTTTCCACTGGATAGTTTGTTGTTGCCCTAACATGCCCATACACTTTGTATCCTCTGGAGGTTGTCAGTTGCAGCCATCAAAAGGTGTTGAGTTTCCACTCCCACCTAAATCTCCTCCTCTCCTCTGGCGCTCTTTCCTTCTGCTCCACTCCCTTTGTGGTTATTAGGAGGCGCTGCCTTCCCCGACCAATCACGCTGCGCAAAGCATGTCTTACCAGATGAATATCAACTGCTTGCAGACCGTTTGGAAACTTGCACCATTTTTGCTATTCATAAAGTTGATCACACAGAGATGCATCACTTATGAATACTGTTGTGTTTCCATGGATAATCGCTGTGTGCCGAAATTAAAAAGGACTTTCCAAAGTCTGGGCAGAGAGTTAAAGCGGCATCAGAGACTTAACGGAGAGAAGAGCAGGCTGAGGGGAGAAGAAAAGAAAACATACAGTGCACAGGCTTCCTCAACAGCTGCAGCCCAGTTTTGAAATCCCCATCATCTTGTGACTTCCTTCCTCTGCTGCACAGAGCTGCAAATTCTGTGTGCTCAGATGCACCCACACTCATGCAATTGCACATATGCACACACACACACAATGCACATTGTGTGCACACACTTGTAGCATACGCCAGGGTCTTTGTTTATCCAAAAAGGTCACACAAGAGATTTGTGGGGGCAGGGTATCCGTGTCACTTGAGGTTTGTCAGTGACGGAAAGAGAGAGAGATCTTTACAGTTAAATTTACAGCGGTTTTCACTTTAATCGCATTTCCTGATGTTATGTTTCTCTTTTGGAAGATTTCAAATATAACGGCTCCATTAAAGTAAATGCAAGGCGAGCACACAACTCAATGTTTTGTCCATTGTCTGTGTGCTCTCAGGTTTCAGTTTTTTTCAAGCAGAACAAAAATGTGTGTGTGTGTGTGAAAGACAGAGGGAGAGGGAGAGAGAAAGTTTGCATAGCCAGTGTTTCTCAGGGCCACTAGAGCAGAGCTGTTAGTCTGGGTGTGAACACGGAAGGTAAACATGACCATGTCCCACAATCCTCTAGTCTTGTGCTCTCCTTGTGGAATTTTGACACAGAAATGCCAGAGGTCACAGCACTGGTTTATCTGAATTCCCCAGAAGACCTCACACATGCCAGTCAACTGCGAGTCGAAGATATAAAATATGACGCTCTACACTGTAAAGTACACTTGTACAGAAAACACACAGACACTGTATTTACAGACACCTGCAGTGAACACAGTCGAGAAAACAAGTACATTTGCATCATTCAGAGCAAAGTCCATTAATGAACAACAGTTTTTTTTCTCTGCGAGATCCAGATCTTTCACACCATACCCTGCTGTTCTCTTGCCAAAGCAGTTGTGGCGAAATTTTAACAGGTTCATCCACTGCAATGCTAACTTTGTCTCTTTGCCTAGACCTCAACGGACTGATAACACAGTTTACTCTGTCTTATCCTACCCTGTCAAAATAGGTCAGGTTACAGCCGAGAGCAAGCTCTGTCAACACATGTGCAAACTACTGTGCACTTCCACACAATCCATGCTCAGACACCAAATTAACAGCATGATATGTTTACTTTCATGTTAACATATTGTTACTTTATTCCCTGTATACATAAAGATATAAGTACATACATGCTTAAATATAGAAATCTGCACATGATTGAAATCCCAGCACATATATCATGTGTAGGCTGTATCACCTTCACTTATAGGAACAGGGCCATGAATCAAGCAGAGATACAGTCACCTTCTATTTCAAGTACTGTCACCCATAGACTGAAGGACATAGTTGGACTATAGTTCCGTGCCATTAACTGACACCATACTCTGCTCCTGTCCTCTCAGATTGCAGACACTTACTCCATCGTGTGTAAATCCCAGAAGAAGAAACCTCCTATGGAAAACAACGGAGCAAAGACCCTCCCCCGCTCCTTCGGTGGGGAGAGGGGAAACGCAGGTTCCCGTGGGCGAGGAAGAGGAGTCCAGGGCCCGGCACGTTCCCAAGAGGAGCCCTGCTACGAGTCGTTTGGAGACAGGTCCTGGTCCACATGCGCGGTGGCTGAGTCTGACCCTGCGTATGCTACTATCGACAGCCAAAGGAAACGTGAGCAGGGGGGAACCAATAACGGCACAGCAGGGGGTAGTGCCACTCTGAAGAGAAAGAAGCCGACGCCGCAGCAACAACAAGCAGCACCAGCGGCACCTCAGGGCTCAGGACCCACCGCCCTGCCTGCTAGAGGCCTGCCTGGTGGGGAAAACTTCTATGAGACCATCAGTGATGTGAAACAAGGGGCTAACAGCGCCAGCACCACCACCATCTTCACCTTCAATGATGGGATGGAGATGTACGTCACTGGCCTGTAGCTGACTGACTGTCAGAAGGGGCCCAGAACCCTCTGGTACTGAGTCAGGAGCGGGACCCTGTTCACCTGCCAGCAGGTTACTGTACATAGATACAAGGCCCTCTATAGACAAACAACATGAGGATCCATTTTTGTGTTGACATCAGGTACAAACAGGGTCTTTGTCCAGGTTCAGACTTCCCTTGATTGGTCTGCACTTCAGAACCAGCCTAAGCCTAGTCCAGCCCAAATATGGACCAAATACATTTCAACAACCAAGAAAAAAAACTAAGAGAAGAACTGGAATTAACTGTACATCTTTAATCTACTGTGTCACTAAACATACTCACCTGTTTGTGCATCATTTTCCATAATATCTTTATTTTTATATGAACACCGTACTCTTTAAAGAGTATGTGATGAAACTCACAACATGAGAAAGAAAAAAAAACACTTTAATATATGTATAACAAAATAAATTTGCATGCATTGTGCAAACTCAAACACACCTGAACATAAACTGTAGTAGCAAGGAGCCTGGATGTATTAGGAGCGTAAGGCACAACGATAGCTATTGTCACCCATACACACACACAAGCACAAGCACAACACACACCCATAGGCCTCCTCTTGGTGGGACTTATGTAATATAAGCAGATGGATGTTACAGAGATTTGCTGTGCTTAGCTCTCACTAAGCAAACATCTGAAACAGGTTCTCTGTGCACAGTGGCCTATTGCCTGGCCAACTGAATTGTGGTGCTTTGTTCAAACATAGCCCATATAATTTGTAGTTCTCAAAGCAAAGAGGCCAATAAAGCCTTTTGTCACAGTTAGACAAATTACCATCAACGTGCCCTAAATGTATTAGCAATTAACAATAACAGCCCTCGTGATAAATATAAAAATGGACTCTTGCGCAATAAAGTATCTTCACGTAAATCATGAGATTAGTTAACAATCGGTGCTCAGATTTGGCAAACATGATGACACACCTCAGCACACCCCCACATGGATACACTCAGACTTGGCAGAGTCATGCAGGGTAAGTGATCAGGTCAGGGGCATCGAGTGGGTGACAAATTTCACAGTGTGAGATGTTAACTATATTACTGGGATCAAATGAGAGCAGAATATTAAAAACAAAAAATAAATAGGGAAGTGAAAGTGCCCAAAATAACACAGGATGTTTTATTCTATGCAGTTAATATGTCATATCCTTTGGGCTTTGAAAACATACGATCTTAGGACCATTTTAATTTTGCACTGGCCAGCTGCAGGACTGGTTTGCTTAATCGTGCATTAGTGAGTTTTGAAGGGTGTTTTCAAAATGCCGTCCTGATTTGCTCCCTGGTCTCAAGACAGAACCAGAGTGGCCCTGCAACTCACCAGACAGAAGGTTTGGGCTCCAAGCAAAATAAAGAGCTGGGCATGAAAATTGCCTGCAAGTGTCCTTTGGAAGGTTGCCCCTCACCCTCTCCCCCACCCTCACCTCCAGGCAGAGTTCTCTTCCATTGTAAACAATGTCTTTCCCATGTAGATTTGGGCAACATTAAAACAGCGGAAGAAAACAAAACATTTGAGCCTTAATAAATGGGCATGAAGATAAGAGCTGGAGAGGGATACAAAATGCTCACAGGCTGAGAGATGGAGGATGCATTAGAATGAGCTCCCTGAGACAAACATGAGAAAACAAAGAAAAAACGGGTTTAAAAATCTTAGTAGCATACGCTCACAAATGCTACTGCATCTGAAAGTATGTAAAAATGATTGCACTCTGTATTTTATGCACTGTTTCTTTTTGTTATTACTTACTGACAATACCATTGGTTAAATAGCTCATGCCACTGCCATAAAAAAAGTATGTTTATGTTGTTGGTGCAATTTTTTCTGCTTGATCAAAAAAGTGCATGCTTTGATATATGGAGATGAAAACAAATATTGTGGTACTTAATTGATCTCTTGTTCGTTGATCTTTTCTGTTGTAATTTTTTGCCACGTGATGCAAAGCAGCATTCTATTTTTTTTTCCAAAGCAACAACTCGAAGGAAGAGAGGAGAAAAAGAGAGAGAGAAAGCACGGAGAGTTTAGGGCCGAGAGTTGTTTATCCTCTCCTCTGGGGGAGCAAGACAGAGCGGCAGAGGTGGGGGAGGGAGATGGAGATCAGCTAGTGTGGAGCTAGATGAGAAACACTGCAAATGGACATGGATGCAAAAGACCCTCCTCCTCCTCCTCATAGCGTGCATGCACACTTGTACACTGGCAGGCACACACACACACAGCAACATTGAGCCATGTGCGTTTACAGTTTCGGGGAAGAAGCACATTTTGCTTCCACTTGGTCGACCCTTGCATACACTCCTCCCCCAGCTGTGTTTATCCTCCAGTAACCGACACAGACCTCTCTCTTCTCCGCTTCACCTCGCTCCCTCGCTGTGCAGGGGAGTGGCGTTTGATGTCCAGTTCTGAGGGACTCTGGGAGTGATATGGGGGATTGTGGGTCAGGCCAACCCCATGTCTAATATGAACGATGCACCAATGGCTCAACCACTGACTGATATGAGAAATGGCTAACAGCTGAGAAGCTTAACAAGCTCTGTTGAGGCTACCTTTAGACAACGCTGGCAGGAAATCACTATCACACTTAATCCTTCTCCTCTGGCTGTCACTTTACGCGTCACATTTTCTTTATCCTCAGAGAAAGCACTGACCTGATATATTTTTTGCTGAGCACTGTCACACACTGATCAAGACCGATGTTCATTGCACAAACAAATACAGTATGATGATGTAAATGTGTAAAAATACTCTGCTGCTGTTCTGATGTTGTTCCAATGTAACATACAGTATACAGTATATTTGTTGAAAAAAAAGATGGTTATCACAGACACATTGTACTTTGTGGATGCAAAATGTTTCATGCTTTCCATACAGATACAGATGCTGTTTGAAAATTGTCTTCAGATATAATTATGGGCCAATACTGCTGTGACAGCTGTAGCCAATGTTGTATGTTCTTAAAGCACAGGGTTTAGTCTAAAAATAGCAAATATAATAAAAAATATAGTGACAGTGCAGATATGCAAAAGATTGTAATGTTTTATATTAACCTTCATAAAATATTTAAGTGAGTTTTTACTTTTCTAATAAAGTGGCACATTATAACGCGTCTCTGTCTTTTGCCTGTAGTGTTATTGCTTCATACACGTTATTATACCAGATTGGAGCGCTGAAGCAGACTCACAGTAATAACTGTAGCTTACAATACATTCAATTTGCAGTAAAATGTGTTTGTGTAGAATCAAGCAATAAACTTTAATGGGCTGTGCTCTGCAGGCACTTTAGAAATAGTTTAGATTGAGAGAGAAGGAAACAAACACTAATATACTGCATCTTCCAATATTACAATTTGTTTGGTGTTCATAAATTCCATCTTACTATGGCTAATTCTACATCAAGCAAGTTGTTAAATTATACAAATATATTGAATATCACATATATGCATCTAATGTAGGCAGGAACAGTTCAGTCAAACAAATACTTTGCAATGAGACTACATCCTCCACTGTGTATCTACATGACACCATGACAAAACAAATAGAGAAAAATATGAGAAAAATTCCTCCATTTTCTTAGGAAAATACTATATTTTGCATTGCAAGGAAATAAAAAAACAAAGTATCTCTTAATTTGTCCACTTTTTAACTCAACCAAGTCACAAACTAGACCTCAACGTTGGCTTGGATTAAATCAAAAAGTGTACCTACACACTTCGTTGGGAAAGTGCATGGTCTCTGACTTTTGGAACCCACAGCTACATGACAGTCTGTGTTTATTGCAGTATAATTGTCTCGGGCTCATTATTTAGTACAGGGATTCATGTTATTGTCACTGGTGGAACTTAAGTACATGTATTACGTTTTGTGGTACTGGTACTTTTCCCCTTAATATTTCCATTTTCTGCTACTTCACTACTATCACAGGAAAATATTGTTACTTCCCATTTCAAGATTTTGAAATGTCAAATGCAATCGGTTAAAAAATAGGAATTAAGCTTATAAATACACAAGAGTTCAAACAACATTCAAATCAAAACACAGAAATGGCTCAATGTGCTTTTAACACTCAGAGGCCCTTTTTGAAAACTACAAAAAGTACTTTTCATACTTAAATTGAATAAATGTTCAATGCGGATACTTTTGATCTTGAATGCAGAAGAGTTACTTGTAATGACATGTGTATATACTGTGATGTGTTCTAATACCACTGCTTATTGTTTGCAGACGCCATCGTGTTGAGGTCTGCACGATGACAACTGTGGTTTTTAAAACACTTCTCATAGTAGATTGGGTTTTTAAACTTCTGCTGGAGTAAACACTCTGACTCAAGAGGCTCACTTCATCGATAATAACACGCCTGCACAGTTTACTTTGTGCAAACACGAGCACGACTCGCTAGCTCACCATCTGCAGGCAGATAAATGCGCAGTTACAGCTGAGGCCTGGCGGCTGCCTCCGCTCACGTCTCCGTCCACAAACACCGGCCGGTGAACTGGAGGACACACCCCCCTCTCGTCCTTCCACCCACAGCGCTCGGATTAAAAAACACAGTGATTGACGCAGCGGCAGCAGCCAATCAGAGCTCGCCTCGCCGTGGACGCGTGCCAGAATGTAATGTTTATGCGCGCGGCGGACCAATGGGTGCGAGGCAGAGGGGGCGTGGTGTCGGTTTGGAGGAAAGAGGCAAAACAATCTTGAATCGTCCGGACCGGGCGGCAGCTGGAGATCCTGCTGGAGGCGGCGGTGGGAAAAAAACGAAAACTTTGCATGTAGAGCAGAAAGTTTAAGAGTCCGATCAAGTCGAGACAATCCTGATAAATGTATCCAACTCCAGCAATTTGCACTAAAACCTATAGAAAGCTGGTTTTCTTTCTTTAGTCTCCACTCGCCCCCCGCTCTGAAGAAAAAAATGGATTCCAGATACATTTTGGAGAAGTCGTCGGTTGGGACGAGGGTCGGCGGCGGCGTCGGGGCGGACTTCAACTGCCGGGCAGGCCGCTCCGTGCTCCGCGACGCCCGGGTCCTCATGGCGGAGAAGAACGGCCCCGTGATGCCGGTGTACACGCACGGGCCCGTCCTCTACAAATTCGTAATGGACGTCGGCTCGGCGGAGGTGAAAAGTGGAAGAACCTCAACGGGAGGGAGCGGACCTGCTCCGGGTGGTCGGATATTGCACGACGAGGAAAAAGTAAGTGACGTTCAGCCGTGTGTGTGTGTGTCTGTGTGTGTGTGTGTGTGTGTGTGTGTGTGTGTGTGTGTCTGTGTGTGTGACTCCATTCAAGTGTCAACAAACACAACATGTACCGTGACGCTGTGTAATGAGAAGTCTGACAGCTTATAATGAGACGTGGGGCATTAGCCGTGTTGTGTTGTGTGTGTTTTTTACCAGACTCAACAACTCTTCACCCTCCTCGGTAAAGTGTCGGTCATTTTGCCGCCTGCGCTCGTTCGAGAGTGATTACGTCTCATCCAGACGGATTAAATGGCGGCGGCTCATTCTGCGTGCAAAAGTTTAGCAGCGCTGGGGGAGGGGACTTTCAAACTAGCGGCCACGCAGCCCCCTCCCACCCGTAACTCCAGGGTGGAGCTACAGCAGAGGCGTTGTTAGGATGGGAGGGGGCCCAGGCCAGCCCAGCCCAAAAATCTCAACATGTCCACCCCACGTTTAAAAAGAAACAACATATAAGACACACAACATCATCATCCACTGCTGTTCTCCCTCTCTCTCACATTCTTTACACTCAATCAATTACATATTTACAATGATGTATTTACACAGTTATATTCATTTGTAAATGGTCTGTATTTATAAAGTACTTTCTTAGTCTTAATGACCACTCAAAGCTCTTTACAGTACAGGTTATTGCCATTCACACACACAAATTCCTTCACTTTTTTATGAGGGGCAATTTGGGGTTCATTATCTTGCCCAAGACACTTCTGCATGCAGAAATTGGGGCGTGGAGATTGGGATGGAACCGTCGACCTAATAGTTAGAGTGCGACCACTCTGCCCCCTCAGCCACAGCCGCCCAGCCTACTTCTAAATGGTTTGACAACCTCTGAGCTAGAAAAGCTAGCTTGCCACAGAGCCCTCTTAGTAGATCAGCTGCTTGACTGAAACTCAGATGACCCAAAATCTGTGTGCTCGTTTGCAAAAGATTTTGGACATTTTCTCTGTGTTCGTATTGATGTCATTGTTGCAGGATTGTGATGCACGCCAACAATGTCTGCCAGTGGAAAGTCCCACAATACATTTTTAAATATTCATATTACGCTCAGTGTAAAAAGAATCAGAATCATCTTAGGCATATTAGGGATTTGACTCCGGTGTTGATTGTGCAAATAGACATACAGTAAAGACAGACTACAAAATAAACAACCACTATGCAAATAGAGTGAAGCTGTAGTGCAACAGGACAACAAGCTGAGCAATTGTGACATAAACATGTAACTACATTGCAGATATGATTGAATTATGACAAATATTGATTATTAATGTACTAGCACATTGAAGGACCATCTTTTGAAGTGTGACAAATTCGAACTAAGACACGCTGGGTCTGTTCTTTCTTATCTGATGCTCTCCTCCTCTTCACAGTACTGGATGGCCAACTAAGCAGATATTCAATACAGAAACACATGTACATCAATCAGCAACTGTGATCTGATAATATCTATATCTACCACATTATCATCCAACCTCATCCCTTGCGCTTTGCACTGTTGCTTTTTCAACGTCTCCCTCTCTCAGATTCTTTCTTCTCAATCCATTAAATATTTATTAATATTTATGATGCTGATTTACATCGTTATATGAATTTGTAACAGTCTACTTGATGTGTCTGCTGACAAAAACATTTGACAATCTCTGAGTCAGAGTATCTAGCTTGCCTTATTTTTCTCTAAGCCATCTGCTACAGCAAAAGGCATTAACTCTTCCTCCAGCTTCGTCTGTGCCTGGTGCCTTCACCCGTTTTCCTATAAAAAAATTCTATATTCGCAGGCTTCAAGCCCTGTGTGTATGAATTAGGTTGCAAGCTGCTAGCACCAGATGTCAACAATGACAAGTAACTGGTGCTCTCTCACACAAAGTTTGCACTGCGCATGAGCCAAGTTGTGGGAAGTAGATCAGCTGCTTGACTGAAACGCAGATGACCCAAAATCTATAAGCAGAAGTCTGAGCAAAATACTCTCTGGTTTCAGCTTTTCAGATCCATTTTTCCTTGTCATATGCTTCTGGGCTGATGATAACAAGCAAACCTGATATGTGCTACTGATACTGAACTTTTACAAATGTGTGAATAGGCAACAGGAACAGAAATAGGTATTTATTAGGTCCAATAATAGGGCTGTATTTTTTTTTCTTGCAAGTGTGTAATTCAGATAAAAATGAAGACTGGGTTTGACGTTGGTCAGGTCTGACTCATGAGCTCAACTGATACTGTAAAGTAAAATAATAATGGTGTAATAAGTTCTGATCACTGATGGGATGGAATGTCATGTTGTTGGGTGTTGCAGCTGGTTTGATCCCATCACAAGATAGCCTCTAGTTTAACCTGTGACTACCATCAGTCTGGTTGGTTCCCAAGGGTTTATGTACAGTGGAAGAGCAAATCAACTGCTTAGTTACTTAGAAAGAGGGGAAAAGATTAAAGAAGCGTTTTCCTTTTCCTAATATTTTTTTTCAAGAATAATAGTTGAACCCCAAAATACTAGAAATGTATGCTATTACCAGACCTAATGTTTCTGATCGATATGCCTACTGATATTAGCCTTGAAATGAAAGACTAACTTTAACACTTTCACATTTTCTCATTTTTCTAGACTGGTCTTGGGGATCATAAAGACACTGGCTCCACTGGGATCCTGAAGAGGGCCAGTCCCACTCACTGCCCCGGCATCAATGGTCTTTTGCCAGGTGGCTTCAAGCATCTGGACATCAGCAACCCATGGAAACAGGCAGAGCTAGCCAACGGCTTCTGGGCAGCACAAGTGCAAAACGCACCACCGGCAGATAGACAACCGCATCCTTCCTCCCACATCCCTGTCCCCAGAAACAGGTACAGAGAGGCTGCGGCCATAAATAATCATTAACCCCTGTTGCATCTTTTTCTTTGGTTTATTTGTTTTACCTGTGTTGTTGAGAGAAAAGACATCACCTTTAAACATTGGGTTTCTAACCTGAGGTTTGGGCAGAAGTGTAATCACCCTAGTGAATTCTGGAGCACATAGTTATCTACCAGACCTATTTTATGTGTGCATTGCTCTAGTTTCTATTCAGCCTAGTCCAGGAGCTAATTTGCTGCTGACTTTGTGGTGTTTAAAACAATCAACATAGGCAATTTTCAAGCTCAACTCCGACCCTGTGTTCTATAACCAAGTCTTGACTGGAAGTGGAATGCACCCTCTAGCTACAACAGTACAGTGGTTGGGTTATGAATGGTGTGGGGGCGTACTGGTCAACTGACCACATATTTGGTATTCTCTCCAGAATAGTTATGAAATATGCCCTCAGCGAGCCAGAGCTCGAGATGAGGGCCACTATTGCCCCATCGCTTGACAGAAGGAAAAAAGAGAGAAAGAATGAGATGGTAACAAGATGTTGGTGTTGTGTATTTATAGATCAGTTAACTGTGTTTCGGAAAGTTTTCACTAATCCAGCATCTCACTGTTTCGCTTGCATTATATTGTGTACTTGTTGACCCTCTTTTCACAAGCCAGGCTAGCGTTATGTCTCGGAATGACGGGCTCTCTGTATGTCAGACAGGACAATGAACTTTGTTGGGCGTTTTGTTTGATGTTTCTTGCTTCAGTGCAGTGAAGCAAACCTTTGTTGCTGTTGATTCACACAATTTTCAAAGACATACACAGCCACATTTTTGCTCAGGAAGTTCTTTAATCGCCCTTTGGCAAACATACATGCACATTCGCGCAGTTTCACACAGAGCAAGCAGAAAATACATCCAGGGACAAGCCTACTGTACTGATAAGTGATTATGTAACAGTGAGGAGGACTAGGAGAGGCTGCAGGCGGTGCCTAAGCCTTTATTTTACACTGCTATTCGTTCCCCTCTGAATCAAGTTGGTGCTTACCTATTAAGCAACAGTGCTTATACATTAACAAAACCTGGCACTGTACTATCTACAATATCAGCAGCCCTTTATTGAATAGGCATTCAACATTCTACCTTATTTTCTGAACCACAGTAGATGACTGTTTAAAAAAAATGCTTGAAAATTAAAAGTTTAGATGCAGATAGATGCTAAGCTGATTAGAGTCTATCAAGAAAACCGGGTAGTTTATCATAGGCGTGGCGTGTGTGTGTAGGGGTTTTCATGCCACACTTACTCCTTCAATCTTCATCATATGAACTTCGTGTGCCACTGGTCATGTATGTGAGGGAGTGTCTCTGGGAAGCACACAAGACTGAACACGCTTTTAAACCTCAGTGATGCCGTGCCTCCTTCTTTGTGAGTGCGTGTCCGAGTGTGTATGCACGTTTGCCCTCAGTGAAGCGGCTCTCGTCCTCACCATCTAGATATTTGTATGCTCACTCAGCAGGTCAGGTTGAAAATGGGTTGAACAATTGTGTCGAATTTATGATGTCACAAAACTCTCAGAACCAATCAGAATGAACACAGTTCAGCATGAACCTAACAGGAGAGTGGAGCTGTTGGGTTATACCCACACTGTCCTCATCTGCGTGGCTTTAACCCAATATTTAACATCTCTATTCCACATCATGCTGACGGCTATCTCAGCACACGTACCACTATAATGAGCTCTGCGTTGACATTACACAGCTGCTAAAACAGATTGCATAACATTATATAACTGTGTAGTCATGTTAGCCCGGCCTCACTGTTGCTACATTGGCCTTTCAGATTAAGTCCCTGTCTTTACCCTGCTCAAATTGGCTTTTGTTTTGCAGTTGGTGACAAGAGGCCCTGCTGTCCTCTTTCACCATGAAACTAACAGCTTTTTTTAAAACCCTGATTCACTTTTTGATTTAAACCATTTTTCATACAATATTCAGTCGATTAGATGAACTTCAAAAAGCTTATCCCAGCTCTGTGTATTAAAATACATGTGCATGTGGTGCTAAATAGAAATTATAAAAGCAGTTTGGACAGGGACTGTACCCTATGTGCAACAATTTCACCAAGTCACATTCGCACAACACTAATACACTTTTGAACTGCAGCGTGATGCAACATTTTTTTCTTCGAAGTAATGGTCACAGTGGCAGGGCTGCACTTATCACACCAGTGAGTGTGCACATCTCTGCATGTGCGGGTGTGACTAATTGTGCATTTGCTGCACTCTGTGCCCTACTTTAGTTAATGCCAACAAACCCATTTCATTTGTTCCCCACCTCTTTAGGTAATACCTCCGTTGTGTTTCGGGGATTAAGTATGTTTACAAAGACCTTAGCTATAAAGCCTGTGTGTTACATTAACCACTGTCTCATTTAAAGTGTTGTTTGTCAGGTACACCATTCAGTGCATTCACACATTGTCTTGTCATTTTGCAAAAGCTGCAAAGTAGGTCACTATCTTTTAGGGAAGCATGGAAAAAGCTCTTAGAGGAGGAACCTAGATATTCCCTCGCTCACACTTGTGCATATTCATCCATATAGATTCAAACCTATATTTGCACCCAGTCCCATCATGTCAACTTTGCCACTGTGTGTGTCCTTCTCTCTTCTTCCTTCCTTAAAGTCTCTCTTTCACCGACACCCTCATAGCAGAGCTCGTTCTACCTGTCAATACTCATCAGCTTAGGATCCAGTGCACTGATAACAGAACAAAGCACAGTGTGAATAGACAGAAAAACGAGGTCTGATGAAATGAAGCAGGGAGGGGGCATTTTGTCTTGATGCGAAATGCTTTTCTTTCTTATCTGTCCTTAGTCAGGTACACTGTCACCACAGTAGGATAACATGAATAGAAAACACTGAGTCTGCATAAACAGGACACCAGAGCAACCAACTGCTGGGGGGGTGTTGGTGGTGGAAACGACGGCTCTGTTTTTAACATAATTACTGGCCAGCCTTTAACTCATACTGCTCAGAGTCATCTGGGGGCTTAGGCTAGGCTAGGCAGTTAGTTGACCACCTCTCCACCCCCCTTTGACCACCCCACCACCAATCCTCTTCTCCAAAAGGGCCGGTTGTTGAAGGTCAGAGTCAGAGGAACAGCCACCCACCCCCACTCTTGTCTGGGATGTTTAACCCACATCCAGACTGCTGACGAGGCCTCCAGAGTTTAGCAACCCGCTCCTCTCTCAGGTGGTTATTCTTGTTTATATTTTTTCATATCAATAATATTTTCCTCTTTCTGTTCTCATGTTAGTCTTGTAATTAGTTGCAAAACTCTGAATTTCATGTAGCATTTTCTTTACTTCCTTGTTGCCCTTTTTTCCCCCTTCCAGACCATAAGAGGTTAAGGCTCTTGCACTGACACAAGTAGGGGTGAAAGGTCACCCTCCATGAATAGAGTTATGCAAAGGAGGTTGGTGGGGGTCAGATCGGGACACGAGCAGGCATCTGGCACGTCTGCTAGGTCAGCCTCAGGATCTGGGTTAGGTGCTAGTGTAGACAATTTATAACCACAGATGATTGTAGCACACATATAATCGCCTCACCACTGGATGCTGACTTATGGAGGAGTGAATATCTAGTGTCAAATCATTTTTTTTCTATCTGATCTGTGTTTTGCAGATTTGTACCAGGCTCTGAAGCTCTCACAGAAAATGAGGGCCTATGGGAGAAGCTCTGTCTCTTTCTCTCTCCGTCTCTCTCTATCTCCCATTCTGTCTGTGTGAGTACAATGCCCTAATGAGACATTAATCATCTGCTGTTATGCAGGGAAGAAGTGAGGCAAAATCAATTTCATAAGTGAAGAGTGGCGTAGGAGGCCATGAAGGAATGTTATCTGCAAACATTTTGCTCCGTTGCAAAAGTAGATAGACAAGGTTAAAAGTGGATTGATTGAATGAGGATTCTAACTCCTCACTTGCTTTTTCCACATCAAGTCATGTACATGTAGGTTGTTTATCTGTCCACAAGCAGGGCACCTTAGGGACACAGCGAGAAAAATAAAGTTGTATCAAGAGGGAAAGAAACTCTTGTTGTGCAGCTCTGGCTCAGCTGCAGCAAAATGCTTTATCGCTTGCTCACTCACACTAATAGAGCCTTACATAAGGCCCCCTGTTCTGCCTCAGCAGCATTCAAAGATACCCCAGTCAACCGTCTTTTTTCAATCAATCTTTCTGTTCTTCTACCCAGCTCCTCATACCAACAGCAGCTGCTCTGAGGCTTGCCCCTCTGTTCACCAGCTTCTCCGATCCTTCTCAGCTTTCATTATACCCCTCCCACAACCTTTCCGCATCTACAACTTTCGTCACTCCCCCAATAACCGTCCCTCTCTATCCATGAGTTATAGACAAGCTATAAACGTGCCTTAAGCGTTCCTCAGTGAAGTTGAGTGAGTTTGCTGGTGTTGTTTAAAAAGCTTTCTCCGTAGTGAGGCACGGACCACAGTATAATACAAAATTGCTCCATGGTCACAAGGTTTTTGCCTTTTCCTCATTTTGTGAAATGTCCTTCCTCCCTTTTTTATGTATTGTATCTGTTCCATACATCCCATTTTCCATTTCTCTTGGCCTTGTGCCCTCTACCCCTTTGTCTGAAGGACACATGCTAAATCCTACTCAAATCCAAAGGAGATGAATTCCTCAATGCCAAGTCCCTCTCTGCCAGAAAAGATCATTCCATACTGCTCTAGAAAATAATTTCCATTCTAATCTATGCTGGCGCGTATTTATCTTGCTCTTTTCTTTCTTACTTTTATTCTCGAACAGCCATAAACATACATCTTCAGTGTGTATGTGATATTGTTTAATTTCCATGAGTTTTAAATAACTGTGTTCATTCACAAGGCAGGAAAATAATGGCATAGTCATCACAGGAATGTTCACTATGTTTCTATTGGCACTGAAATCGCAGATTCTCAGACATTACACTCACAGGCCAAGGGTTGATTTTCGGTTCAAAAT